GACGCAAAAGAGAATGTTTAACTCAGAATTGTTTTGTATGTCACAAAAAACTCAAATGAGAAGCAAAGCGACTAAGTTTTCAATTGAAACTGAAAAGAAAACACTTAGTTGAATTTTGGAATTTAAAGAATCTGTTGCCTTTACAAGTTTGCCTTTTGATTTTAGTTAGTGGCTTTAGAGACACTTACTGTTTATTTTAAAAGGCTTGAGTGGAGAATATATTAAAATATTTTAGCCTGCATGATTGTTTTTAATCAACTAGGACAACTGATCATTTGTGGTGAGATGAAAGGCTTTGGTAATCTCTTGAAGAGGGAGATTATTTCATTTTTCCTTCTAACCGCAGAGTTCCTTAGTTTTAATATTCAGGACCAATAACAATTAAATTTCCAAAGGAAAGGAGCATAGCAGGAAAATTTTAGTTTGTGGGTTGGCAGGATTGTCCTGCGTTCCTACACTTTTTAAACCTAGGAGAAAAAGTTTTAAATCGGAAAGTCTAAAAAGTTGTTTTTATCTTAAGTCATATCCTAAACAAAGCTGATTAAAGACAGAATTTGGAAGGCTATAGTGATGTAGTATAATGCCATTTATATTCTACAGTGAGTCGATATGACGTGGATAAAAGTGATTTCGTGCATTTTGTAATTTCTGTTCGGTGACACTGTACCATTTTGATGAAGACTGCGAGACTCAATGAGGACATGGACCGGGCTGTCCGGGGAGTATGTGACATTCGACCAGAATGGACAAAAATGCAATTTCGAATTCAGAGCCGCTGACCTGGAAGATTAAGGGTTTTAGCAGATTAGCGACGATATTTAAGTGATTAGACGAATCGTGAAGATCAGAGGTTACTGGAAATTTTAAATTTCAAAAATTTAGAATGATGACGTCACACTTCTGAGAAACGTCGGAACGGCCAATTTTGGAAAAAAGCAAGAAGAAAAACACAACAACAATAGTTGCGATAGAATCAACGACGAGAAATAACGAGATACAATTGGAAATTATCACAGACCGCTCCGAGTTGTAACGATTGTGTCGCTACAATCGTTACAGAGCAATTCACGCAATCGGTGAAGGGTGCTGGGACAGTGTGTCCAGCCTTCTGGAAAGGAGATAGGAACGTCCTTTTCCCGGATTCCAGAATCCGGAGGGGTCTCGAGGCCTGAACTCAAACTATTTTATACAAAATTTTTAGCTTCCTGGTTATGTCCTGAATTGAATTTAATTAACATCCAGATTCATTTTCAGATAATGAGAAGCTAGGAGTTGAGGGAAAGGGTTGATCCATCTTCGATGGAGATGATAATTTTTATCTACTGAACAAAAACAATAGTAATATAATAAATAGTAGTAGCCTTGTTTTTAGGAGTGACCTCGTGGTCTGGGGATACTGAGGCCCAGCTATGAGCTAACTATTCTTGCATATAATTGAGTTAATTTGAGCGTTTTGACCAAAGCCGAGAGCAGTCACGTTTTTGTCGACCCGATGTAAGAAAAACTACCAAAAGAACTGGCTTTGGCAGAGACGGTGAAAAGCAGGTAGAGCTGTGTTCAGACGCTAGCCAGTCGTTTTAGAACCTGGCTTTAATTTCCTTCGATATGTACTTCCGGGCGAATGTTACAATGATGGAACCGATCGAAGCTCTAAGACCGCCTCGCACACTGTCGCAACTTAAAGTATTTATGGGGTCGATCCACACTTTGCATAAAGACATGCAAGTGTTGGCTAAATCATCGGCGCCGTTATGCCCGCTACTACGCAGAAAAATGAATTTTGTGGACACCGGAATGCCAGGCTGCATTCGAAAATTTTAAATGGCAAGTGAAAAAGTTTGTGGAACTAAAGCATTTTGATTGATGTACACAAAGATATCAGGATAGTGTGCGACGCAACCCATAACGGATTAGGAGCCGTGCTTGAAAACCTCGGATCCAACGGATGGCGGCCAATCTCATTTGCATTGCGTTAATTAAACAACGCCCAAAGGAATCACTCACCAAACAATTGGAGATGCTGACGGTAGTACTGGGGGTGGGGTATTTTTGAATTTATGTTTTGGGACGGACGTTTCAAGTTATTACGACCAAAAAGCACTGGTATATTAATGAATAGTTAATAAATTGGAACAATAAGAAAAACAAATTAATGCTCAGCCACTTAGCAAGATGGCTAGATAGATTAATTTTGTTTGGTTTCCAAGTGGAACATAATCCAGGGGCTAAAGTTGGAATGGCAGATTACTTATTCAGAAACCTAAATAGTTTAGCAGAGACTGTCTCGAACTATGGTAAATTAATTACTGCGACGAAATTAGTTTCTTTTCGTAACGCCCTCAATTTCGCAAAATCTAAATTATTCAGGGAGTCGGATATAAAAGTTAGCAATAATTCAAATGAGAAAGTACTAACAAAACAAAACGTTGTATGCTAATTTTGATCAACAAAACGGCCAGTAGAGGGGAAAATAGCATGCAATAAACAATTAGCCGAGCAAAACGCAGCCATTTGCATACGATGACGGTCACGCGCCAAAGATTCGAAAAGAGTTTAAAAGATCATTAGTTTGAGAGATGACAGCAAGTAATGTAATTTTTAAAATAATAAATTTCAAACAATAGAGAAAACATTCCGAGAGCTCCTGGAAAGGCATCCAAGTGTCGATACCAGGGACAGCGAAAATAATGAAGTAGACGGGAGAAACCCAACTACAAGCAATAGCGACGGATAGTACAAAAGAGTACAAAAACGAACACCGTACAATCTATACAATCAGGGTTCAAGAGAGAAACTTTTCCTTCGGTGGACCCGAAAAATTGTATAATGTTGTCTATAGTCCCCCGAAACTGTAAGATGGTCCAGAAAAGCACCATCCTCCTTGATTTATTTTATCTGAGTTTCATTGAATCGCAATACGCCTCAGATCTGCAACTACAAGCCGTCTTCGAAATGGTAAAAACAAAGGCACCGAAAATCCAGCAGAAAGTACATAACATGAATCGGTACTACTCGCATTTGTCAAAGATTTCTATGAACGGGATAATGTCCTATAGATGGATGAAAAACTCCATCAACAAAAGACTGAGACTGCACCACTACCACCATGGAAAATCAAACATGTTCATGGCGACAGAAGGTGTTTGGTTTCCCTTCATTCACTGGATTATTGCGACCCTGGCGGAAAACTGCAAGGAATGAATCGCAGTGGTTAAGAACTTTAAACCTATGTGTACCAAGGGAGACTTAGGTAAAATTTTGGAACCAAGGTGCCAAGTGAATCAGTGCAATTGGACTACTCGGGTCCCATTACTTATTAAAACGAATCCAAATAGTACGTAATAACTGCGGTGGACCAATTCTGGCGTTAGCCATCAGTAATGGTCTGCGGAACAAGTAGCTTGGATAAAATCTTAAAGTTTCTTAAGTCAAAAAAAAACTAAGTGATGCCGAGAAAAATTCATGCGGATCAAGGAACTAACTTCAAGTCGAAGGACGTGAAAAACTTTTGCAACAGCGTTGGCATATAGAAATCATACAATTACCAGTAAACGACCATCGGGTGACGGGCTGTGTTGAACTGACAATTGGAAGCTTGGAAAACTCAGGCTTATCATACGCGCGCGAGGAAAATCTTCAAAAGGGCCCTCGGAGCGTTACAATTCCCAAACAATGCAACGCTTGAGATCACACAATTTATAAAACACCATGGTCGGGAAGCAAGCACGGCGTTATGAAACCTAACGAAAAAAGCGTCGCTAATCATCTTAAACTTGTCAAACGTACTTATATCTAAATCTGCCTGATTGGATGAACGTGATTTGGTAGCGCGAGAGATGCCGAATCCAGCAGGTACTATCTAGGGGACCAGGTCAGACTCGGAAAAAGGTGACTGCACGCAAAAATACCCGATTAAACCAAAATTAATACTTGTACTTTTCGGGCCAAAACATTCAATTGAGTGCTTAATTTTCATTCGTTTTTTTCCAAACGTTTTCATTTTCACAAGAAGGGAAAGTCTTAGTGGTTAATTTAGTTAACTGAACTCTTTTAGTTTTATTTCATTTATTATCTGTCAATCAATTTGCGTTTCATTCTGGTGCTAGACAGAGTTGACAGGTACTGGCCTTCGGAGCGTCTACCACCTTTGGTTGACCTCTAATTTATCATTTATGTGATCTTTGATACAACTGAGTTGGCTTTTAACTTTGGGAATTGAACTGTACAAAATAAAGCTCTTCAACAACTGAAAATAAGGGAGTTAAAAGTTACCATTTTGGGGTGATTACCAGTGTTCTTTTAACGCTTTGCGTAGGTGACGAATGAATCAGGTATCTTGTTAACTATATCCTCCCCTATGCTACCTTGTAATGAATTGGCCCCTATAAAGAAAAAAATGGACAGTTAAGCATATATAAATCTTGTATCTTGTTACTAAATGGCCCCTATTTTGCAAAAGGGGGCAAATAGTCCACTAGATCCTGAATCAGGCTCCGAAACCATTCCAAATTGAACTAAGGCAAGCTCTTTGGTCTTATGAGTATGTTACTAAGCGATGAAGATATCGCTTTGTCGTAGTTTTGAAGGCGAGGGTGGTTAAACATCTGAAAATGTCAATTTTTGGCTCATGTTTTCGTTAGTTACCTTTTTCTCTTTAACTTCTTTGGGTTTACGAAATGCAACTTTGCCGTCGTATGAGTGTTTCGTTTGGCATTTCGCGTCTTTTCCTGATGCTTAAAATTTGCTTTTAATTTTCAGAATAATTTTCAGGTCCAAAATTAATTATTTGAACAAAGCGAGTATTTTATGCGCTGCTTTCTTTTCTCCTCCCGTCGGTAGATCTGACTCCAAATCCTACTGTTCTTATTCATAAACTCTTGAAACTACTGGTTAGACTAACTAATTAGCCTGCATTTTGGAATCCACAATTGACGACTTGAAAAAAAAAATTCATCCTTAACCACTGTATTTTCTTATTCATACTGTTAACTGGAGTTTAGAAATGCGCAACATTGAGAGTCCTGATCCTGAGAAAGACGAGCACAAACATATGGAGGACGACCACCAGGGACCTCGGATGCCGGAACACGATGTTGCCAAGATGGAGAGACCCAGGAACAAAATACAACAGGTGAGAATGGTGCTCAAGGAAAAACATCGAGGGTGTTTTTTTTAAGTTCTGACAGCGCTTTCACTGGCGCATGGAGCGCCAATTAGGCCCGTTAGTATATCTGGTGGCGACTAGAGATTGACATCAGGCAGTTTGTGCAGTAAGACTGCTTTGATGCTAGCAGTCGAAATAGACACACTTCACTTATTTGCAGTTTTGAAACAAAGTCGCAAAAAGCTAACATATTAATCGCGAAAAAATTATAATATAGTTATTTAAAAATGGATCATACTAAGCTGATAAAAAAGTTTTCAGGTTCATAATCATGCTGAACGGAAGGGGGCTGGTCCAGAGTTCCCTGATCACGACATCGAAACAGGGCCTAAAGTGGATCTCCATAACGACACAGGAGATCATGCAGCTGAGCAAAACAAAACCAGATCGAGAAGACCAGATCCAAACCCAGAGGATTTGGAGCGGCTAGCCAAGACGATACAGTTGACGAAGGAGTTGGCATTACAAAAGGAAAGGGAAAAAGAAGCGGAGGCTAGAAGTATCGAGAAAATGCTCCATGAAAAAGTGGAAGACAGCAAAACTAGAGATTATTTGAAACTATTGATGAAACAGCACATTTTTCCCAAAAAGGATCAGCAGAAAAATGGACGAATAATAACTGACAACCCGGAAGAGCTGGACAAAATAAAAGAAGACGAGGAAGAAATTTTCAAGTCAATAGAGTTGGAAGCGAATGAGTTCTTAGGACTGATAAACATGATAATCCGAGACGAAAAGCGACACATGTCGGATGAGTATTTTATTATAGTTGAGCAGAAGGTTATGGACAATGCGCTGAAAACGATCGATTTTGAGGCAAAGCAAATGGGAAAAGGATCGGCTAGAGACGGAAGAAAAACTCTGAGGGAATGGGTTCGAGGCTTCATCAGACTTCATACTCCAATTGTGCACGATGAGAACTGATTTTAAACTTAAATGTGTTTATGATCATTTAAAAATATTATAAAACTGATTACTTCAATATTTGAACACTTTCGATCTGTTGGTAAGTCTAATAAACATTGTTTGACATTGTTTTCTTAATTAAACTTTCAAGAGTGTAAAAATTAGCTGAAACTTAATGGCAGCCGAGTGCTAGTAACAAATAACATCATCTTGTTTGAACAATTAATGAAACTAAAATTGCTGCAATTACTTTTCTTGTACTTTGTTCTATTTGTACGAATCTTCACACTCTCCGAGTTCTAAGAAGCGTGAACTTTTCTTTATTTGTTTTATCGACGGTATTGGAACCGAGTACTAGACTTTCTCGCCCCATAGGAAATGTTGGCCGAATGACTTTGTGAAAATCTCCGTTCATAGTTAGCATATCAAGTTTCAGCAAATAACTCTGTCCGTTTGGTGGAGAGAAGACGTTCATGCTTTGAACGAAAAAGTTGGGTATCGAATCTGGTCAACAGGCACGGCGAAAGAATGGCGGTTCATATTGAATATTTCACATTGATGGAGAAGTTGCTGTTTGCCGCGCTCGCTGATAAAATAATTCAAGGGCATGTTGGAATCAGTAAATGTAACAATTGTGAGATGAAATGTGAGATTCGAATGAAACGAATGAGAAGAAACAAAGAGTTTTAGGGGCAACTAGCCCGGGTTGACCTCCACACACCGAAAATGCTTATCATACAATTCCATACATCAAGTGTGTGGGAAAATGCTTGTCATACAGTTTTCATAAAATTTCTAAAAATGGTTGAAAACTGGTATAAACTCGTTTCTGTGGCTGTTTGATTCTAATAAAACAGTCTGGTGATAAAAACTGAGGTTTTCGTTTTTTGAAAAAAATGCTTATCATACAATTCCCATATATGGAAAGTGTATGACTGGCATTTTTTTTGATGGCGACACAAAGTAATTTTGAAAATTTGGCCCAACATTTTTTTTCAACCGCAAATCGAATTTCGTACGCAAACAAACATTTTTCGAAAAAAATTTTTTGCATGCTGTGCATAACGTAGTCCAGGATACGATAAAATTGGCTTTTATTTTCTTTTCACTTATATATTTTTTTCAAAAACGCGGAAAATTCCTATTTCTTCTGTATGGGGTGTTAATGTATGCCTTGATCAATGTCTCATAATTTGAAAATTCAAAAATTTAAAATAACCATCATTAAAAAATTCTGCCAAAAAATAAATGTTTGTTATTTTTCTTATATCAATTGTAAAAGACAGCAACATTCAGGTCGTTTTCTATGCATTGTCAATGCAAGACCGGCTAACTTTTGGTGTTTTGAGTAACCAAGGTCTTTGTCACTTGTGTTCGGTTGCAACTACAACCGAAAATTTTTCAGAAACTAAATTTAGAAAGAAAAAATCAAAATTTTTGGTTTATGGAAAAACACACTATCATACAACTTTCATATATGGAAAAATGCTTGTCATAGAGTTTTCATACAATTTTCTGTACGTATGGAATTGTATGAAATTGTATGACAAGAAGTTTCTCATATATGGAAATTATATGATAAGAAGTTTTGGTCAACCCGGGAGTTCAATCCCCCAGAGCCACCTTAAGACTCGTCTCGTCTTTTTGCAAAAAAATAGGCTTGAGAAAAAATTAATTGTGTCACATTATTGCTTGTTTGCTGACTTTTTGTCGGCAAAATTGTGACAAGGCCATTTTGTATAATTTATTTATATTTCGACTAAAACTTCAAACAGTTTTGATACTTAGCTGAAACTCACACTTTTTAGGCGCTAATTTGTTAGCGTCCGCTGTTATCAGTTAATTCTGAATCTCTAAACTGGTAAAGTACATGATGGGGGTTGATAAATTAGACGATAAGCAAATTAGACGGAGGTACTTAAAAGGAAATTAGACGGTTTTGCAAAACTGCAATTGTGAGAAAATAGACGAAAGTGAGAGAAATTAACTTTGTTTGCACACAAATTGCGTTAGAAAAATAAAATTGTTTGTAGATAACAGTTCAATTTCGGTGGCCAAAAACTTTGCAAGTCAATCATGCATAATTTATTCAATTCAAAACTCTCCTGTAATATTCAGATTTGACATTTTATGTTCATTTGAACTAATTGTTTTGATAGGTATTGACATTTTATGTCCTTTTTGTATTTGTGAAACTTGACTCTTAAGAAAAAATTTTGTTGGCCCTTTCCTTTTCATAGCTTTTTCGTCTAAAATGCCAGATCTGTAAAAAATAAATTCCGTCTAATTTCGTTTTTGTAGTATCCGTCTAATTTGCTTGTCGTCTAATTTCCTAGGCCCCGTACATGATGGCTACAATGATTAAGATAAGCTACTGAAATGATGTCAAGATTTCAAACTGATCAAAAGTTCCAAAAATTTAGGCAAGCAATGGTAGATGCGACCGGATTGGTACAATCATTTTAATTAATTATCGCTTTTTGCCAATTTTGTATCAGAAATTGAAAAAATAAGTGAACCTTGGGATAGATGCGACCGGATTAGTAGAAGCAATTTAAATAGTTCCCGTATTTTGAAAATTTTGTATGAAAACTTTAGACTAAAGATTCAATTAATAGTCAATCATGATCTATTACTAAACACTGAACAAGACTGCTCATATCAGGGCGAAGCCCTGAATGTTCCGACTGCCTTTTAGGGTCTAAGGAGCAGTAATAACATGAAAAAAATAAATGCAATGTAACAATTGTTTTTCAATTATGGCATATAAGCTTCTTTGAACCAATTGGGAACGATTTCTAAAACGGATATTAAGTCTCCGCTTACGCGTAAATAGAGCGAAATATGTCGCGCGGTAATTGCCCCAAATTGGTCAAAATGGCAATCTTTAAACCTCCATAAGTTTACGGAAAATGATCACAGGTGAAATATGTTTTCAAGTTTAAACTCAGGACAATAATAGCTTTTGAGTGATATAAAAAAAATTTCAGAAATGGCTAGTTAAAAAGTCGAATTTTGTCTGAAGAAAAAAAACTCACCCCGACCCCAAATATTTCGTTATTTTCGTTACGAAAGTCGGAACAAAAAAATGTGGGTAATTTTAAATTTCCCCTTTTCAAATTCAGTTTTGAAAAGCTTATTTAAAATTGTCATAAAGCAATGCAATTTGGCATGGTGAACAAATCAGCAATTGTGAACAAAATTGTTCTTCAAATTTACATGAAAACATAACGCATTGAGTTATGTATTTTATTCTATACTCATAGAGTAATTTCAGATAAAGTACACTGTCTGCTCTTCATGCTATCTTATTTTCGGCCGGATAGATTCGTGCAACTTCTTAGTCTAATTCCAATCTTAATCTTACTCTTATATCTCCTAGTCTTAATAGATCTAGTGTGCACCGGTTTGCGCGAGTAAGTTCCACAATGAGAACAACTGTATTCTAAGTTTAATTCAAATTGTTCTGGTGTTGAAGCTACAAGTAGTTTCAACACTTACAAATAAGTGGCTTGTTAGTTTGATGGAGTATGATTGGTTAGTATTTAATATTTTATAGAGATAAAAAATCATAATAAAAACCAATGATAAATACTAGTTTAGATCTGGTTCCAACCATCCGGGGTTTAGAGAGTTTTAGTTTTTGAATGTTCTATTGTAGTGTAGGGTAGATGATGGTGTTTCTCTCTAGAGGTTGCGAGCATATTCTTTTTTCTGGTTTGGAAGAAGAGATGTTATCACAATAATTTCGAGAGATCGTATTATGATTTCTGATCGGTTGTGATGAGTGTTGATCTGGTTGATTTTAGAGAAGATCAATGGTCCAATCACATTCAGGAGTGCCATGTAGTTTGACTTTGGATGCAGCGCCTGGTGACTTGGATCTGTACGTATACTTGAATATCGAGATCTGTACGTATACTTGAATATCGAGATGGCCATTGTTCGGTTGCAATGGGTTTCTTTTACTGCGATGCCAAGTCGTACTCTAAATCCGTTGAGTGTAGTGACTGTAGGCAGCATGTCAGGTGGGCCTTGCCATTCCGTAGTTGGAGTGTGATTGGGTTGCCAAGTTCCTTGCTGCTCGTCTTTGGGTTGTGATGCTATCTACATACTGCATTGTATTATTTACATACAAAAATCTTGAATTAATTTTTTATCGCAAAAGCGTTATTATTTAGTGCGGTTATTTTTAAGAGCTACTCACACTTGAGTACCTTTTATCAAAAATAAGGAGTGGGTCACAAAGCGTGGATTCTAACACGGTGGGTAAGGCCGGCTATTAAACATGCTCAGGACTTCGTCCTCTTCTGGTGGGTTAGGCCAGGAGTGAGGGTATGGTTTCATGCTGGTTTTTTATGGGGTCCTATTTTGTGTTAACCTTTTGTGTCGTGTTTGTTTCTGGTTTTTTCCTTTTGTTGTTTTAGTTGTGTCTTTTTCTCAAGTCAAATTGTTTGGTTTGGGTTTGTCTTCCGACTTTTTGGTGTTTTATGCTTTCTTTTTTAGACTTATCAATTGTCTTCAACAGAATAAATTATCGGTTCTTTAAGCTGGTTTAATCCAGTTTGGGTACTGTGGGTTTTCTTTTCTTAGTCATGCTGTTAGGTTGTGGTTTGTGGTGTTTAGTAAGCTTGCACTGCTTAGTTTGAATTATTATATAATTCCTTTCCAACCGGATTGAAGGAAAGTTTGAAACGTGTTAAAACTTTTTAGAGTTGTTATCAATGAAAGTTAAAACTTAAATTCATTATTTTAAGCAATTCTTCGTGGGCGAGCTGTGCGATTCTGGATAGAATTTGTGGGCGAGTGATTATAAAAAAACGTCTTTGAAAAGGTTAGTACTGCTTTTTGCAATTTATAGGCAATTTTAATTAGTTTACTACATTGAAATTATGGAGTTTACTGCTTGATTAGGGGGTTGAAACTATCAATTTATTTTCAATTGTATGAAGATTTACTGCATTGGGAAAAGAATTGATATATTAATTTATTGCTTTAAACAAGAGAATTGTACTGTTTCGTTTATTGAAGTTGGTTAATAGAAATTTATGAATCTAAAAAAAGTTTCGTGTTTTTTATTTCGCTTATTGTTTTG